GGAAATAAAAGATCTTCCTCTATATTCCTTTAAGAACTTGAAGCTAAACTGTTTTAAAAAGAATTGAGTCTAAACTTGCCACAGGAGCAGATGCATCAAATTATAATGTCACCAAAGAGTGAACTTATTTTGATAGTTACACTGAGAAAGTGAAACTCTCATATTTAATATAAAAGCAAATGTAAACCGAAGACTGAACTGAAAACTGAATCATTAAACATTATTTATTACAGATCTGTATAAAATATGAGGTTCACTTTTTGAATGGATTTGCTGAAATGAACATGATGCTAATCTAATTTGAAATATATCTGTAATGAGTTCAGTATCTGCTCTCCATGCAGTGATGTGGAGGGTGTGGGTGGATTTGGATGCTGCCTCTGGGAGTGGTCAGACCCCCACAATCAAAAAAGCCTCAGTGGACTTCACTGTCATGTCCTACAACATCCTAGCCCAAGATCTTTTGGAGGAGAACCAACAGCTGTATGCACACTGCCCCCCAGAGGTGCTGCAGTGGAACTACCGCTGCAGCCTGCTTTTAAGTGAAATAGAAAAATGGGCGCCAGATGTAAGTCGGATGCATTTCTTTTTTTATATTTCTAATGTTGCACAACCACTAATCACTCCTGTGTGTCATTGTTGTCCTTTGTGTAGATTTTGTGTCTGCAGGAGGTTCAGGAGAACCACTACCATGAACATCTGTACCCTGTTCTTTCTCAGATGGGTAGGGCAGCTGAGAAAATGCAGAGGAGATGTAATTTTCTGCAAATGAGGTGACAAAAACATCCATCCTATTCTGCTCGTGTCTTCCCCAGGCTATACCTGTGTGTACCAGCGTCGCACGGGGACAAAGACCGATGGCTGTGCGGCGTGCTATCGGAGCGCAGTCTTCACCGAAGCCGGCGTCTCCAAGCTGGAGTTCTTTAGGCCTGAGACCGGGCTGTTGGACCGGCACAACGTAGGCATCGTTTTGCTCCTTCGGCCACTGGTCACCAGAGGAGCAGAGGTCAAGGAAGCTGGCCCACCCCTCTGCGTGGCCAACACACACCTGCTCTTCAACCCACGGCGAGGTGATATCAAGCTGGCCCAGTTAGCCATAATGCTGGCAGAAATTAACGCCATGATCAAGTCCTGTAAGGTCAGAGGTGAACACTGCAACGTCGTCTTCTGTGGAGACTTTAACTCCATCCCATACACGCCTCTGTACCAGCTGCTCACCACTGGCGAGCTCTACTACCAGGGTATTCCCAAGTGGATGGTGAGAAAACAGAACTGAAGAATAACTGTCTGCATATTGAGTGGCAAACATCCTCCTGCTGTTATCCCAAAGATGCACGTTATGGTTTGCTAACCTTGTGTGTTTGCTCTGTTTAAAAGGTTTCAGGCCAAGAGGATCTGTCTTACAAGCCTAGTTATCACAGACTGTTTGCTCCTCTGTGGCCCAGCTCTCTGGGAATCTCAGACACCTGCCAGTACACTGAGATCAATACGTCCAAAACTAATCGTCAGAAGTCGGGTCAGTGGCTGAAGTCGCATAGTTTTGAAGTGGTGTTTTTGTTCCAATGAAGCAAATAGCAAGTTTGTATTAGAATAAGTGTTTTTTTCTTGTTTTGTTGTTTTAAATTTCAGGGACTCGCCAGTACAGCCATGAATTCATGCTGCAGCTACGCTTCTGTCCAGCCGCATGTGTTCGTCCTCAGAAGCTGATTCTGATTTCTGGAGTGACTGACATCACACCAGGTTGTGCACATATGTAGTACAAAGAAAACTCTCCTTGCTAACAGGTGGACCTGTACAAATCTAAAAAAAAAAACACCAAATTAAACTACTTCAAAAGTGCTCATTGAATATGTAGAACCAAATAACACGGATGGTTAAATTTTGATTAAAGTTCCTAGAAGTTCTTTTCTGAAGGTTTTTGAAAACTGAATATTTCATTACCAATCCAATGAATGATGGGGATGATATACCGAGCTAAACAGAAGTGTTCAACCCCTTTTAATCTTTTCTCAGTGTGTTTTTTTTTTTTTACAACCATAAACTATATTTTAGTGAACAAAACCATAAAAGATTTTTTTCGATAAATATGAAAAATGTGGCATTTATGTTGAATTCAGACCCATTTTCTCCGATACCCTTATACAAAATTAAGTGTAACCAACTACAGGTAGTAGTCTGCTAATTCAGGGTTTCTTAACCCTGTTCCTCAGGGCCCTTTTCCACCCATGTTTGAGATGCTTCTCTTTTTAATCATACCTAAATTAAATTTCAGCTGTTTTATGAATGCCTCAGAGGTTTTTATTGAAAGATTCTTCAGAGGATTAGAATAGAGTTGGAATACAAAACAATCTATGATCTGGAAATTAAGAGTTTAGCTAAACTGAAAACCTACCAGAGCTTGACCATCCATCTTAATTGGTGGATAAGTAGGGTAATAATCAGCTGAGATCAATCGTAGCTGGGGGTTCTGTAGAGAGCCACAGGTCTGGGGGTGAAGTCTGTCGACGTGACAGCTGTGGGTTTGCAATTTCTTAAACCTGGCCTTCTGTAGAAAGTGGCAAGAAAATGTTTTTATTTAAACAAAACCACAAGTTTGCAATTTGCAACAAGCAAAGATGGACAACAGATACATGGAAGGAGCTGCTCTGGTCAGATGAGAAGGAAACTCATCTTTTTTCCCAGAGTGCTTCGTAAGTAACCTAACATGCACATGACCCTGAACACACCATCTATATGGTGATGGCAGCATCAACATGCTAGTGGGATGTTTTTCTTCCTTTTTAACAGACACAAAAAACATTTGGAGGCTGCAAATAGTCTTGATTAGATCAAAGCGTTTTTCTACCTAAATCATAGAACCAGTTGGGAGACTTAAAAACCCAAATCCACAGATATTTGATTCTGCTTTGGCAAAGAAGAATGGAATGAAGTAGAAACCTACTCCCTAAGACATGATTTCAGTAGAAATAATTTCAGTAGATTACTTCAAGGCGTATGAATACACCTTTAGGTGTGTGGACACTGCTGTAAGCGTATAACTCGATACACAACTCTATTATTAGCTTTAAGCATCTATTCACTGTAAGATTAGTTTTAAGGCATAACGCACACTGCTCTATACTGTCACCTAGTGGCCATTCTATGAAAAAAAAAAAAGTCTGCCTGCATTTAAATAAAGGTTCTGCAGAAAGAACCTGCAGGAGCCTTAAAATATCAAGAGCCATCCAGACCCTTGTTAATGCAGCAGTTACTATAGGCAAAGAAACAATGGGTAATTTCATTTCTTTCTCCAATAGGAGGTAATGGTAAAAGGAGGTTTTTCTTCCAGACTGATATGTTCATTTTATTTGTTTGTAATAAACTGACATCAGTATAATGTTTATAATGTTGTATAATTTTAATATTTTTATTCATATCTTTTTTATTTGTCTTGTATTTCATACTATTCATACTATTATCTTGTTGGTCTGAACCTGAGTCAGTTAATAGACCCTAGTTGATTCATGTAGTAGTTAGCCTAATAAGGAGCATTTTACCTTCTGTCCTTCACTATTAACATTTTTATCTTCTCTTTGAGCTCAGATACCACACAGGACGTTCAACACTATGAGAAAAGGTCAGTTCATTAAAAGTACTTCCATATCAAGTGCAATAAATGTTTTTTACCACTAGGGCTGGGTATTAAAGTCATTTCGATTTGATCGGTTTAAAAAATAATGAAAGTGGTTCAACTGTGTTTCAAAATACTCATGTATTTAAATTTTTCCTGTCACATTAAACACAAAGTGCAAACTTGTAAATCAGACAGTTTAAGCTTGAGAAGTGAACAAAACTTTCTCATAAGTGTAAACTTGTTTGTGAAAAGTGAAAAAGTGAAGCCTGACTCGAGCAAGCAGACTTGACACAGCGGGGACACAGCAGACATGCATGACCTGCATTATCTTCATTGCACAAACCAAATTTGCAGCATTGTCTGTAACAACCACCGTGTGTTTGCTGGTCAGCCTCCATGTCTTCAGTCAACCTATTGGCTATATTTGCAGCTGTCTGGCTTGAAGTCATCTTGAGTGCATCTTTCCTGCTCAATTGAACATCACACGCGTCACTATAAAACTAATCGATCTCATTCCCTAAACATCGATTTTGCAAAAATGTAAAGGAATCGATTCAAAATCGATTAAATAGATTTTTTTACCCAGCCCTATTTACCACCATGTTATATTGCACATAATAACATGATCAGCTTACAGACAGGATATTTGAATAACAAAGATTGATCCTGAATGTGTCACAGGTTCAAAGACTATCTGATGCATCAGGTGGACCTGGAGTCTGTCTATGAACATGTCCTTCCTGGTTCTGGCAGTCCAGAACTCACAACCCTGCATTCTGAGGGTGGAGCTACCGTCGACTACATCTTCTACTCTCCAAAACGCACCTCTACCAAAAATCAAATGGGTAAAAGGATTGGATTTAAAGAACAAGAGTATGAGTTCTGAATTCCTAAAGAGCTACTTTAATTTTTTAACATTTTCTTTTTCTAATGTTTCTCCTAGCTTGTAAAAAGATATCAGAGAAAGGTCTGAAGCTCCTTGGTTACCTCTCTCTCCTGTCTGAGGACCTCTTGTGGTCGATGAACGGACTTCCCAACCACATATTCCCTTCCGATCATCTAAGTCTGGTCGCCCGTTTCCAGATGGAACTTGATAATTAATGAAAGAACATGTTTTGTTTATAAGTTTTAAAAATGTTCTGTTCGCGAGTGTAGAAACACTGTCATTGTTTTCATAAAAAAGAATTGTACTCCTTTTTTATTGTTTTGTATAAATATTTTTGCACTGAATCAGAACGCTATAAAGTTTAAATAATTATTTTTTGTGTACGGCTTATGATTCAGCTCATCTTGAACAGACCTACTGCTGTTCCTGCCTACAGTCTGTCTGGATGATTAGATCATGTGCAGCTGATTTCTGCATGGCTGTGCAGAGGGGTGATACTAGGGCTATTAATGAAGATTTTTATTTTTTTAGCTTTATCATTTTGTTTTGGATAATTTTTCTGTATGGAAAACCTGAAAAAAACTGTCTTATAGACAGTTATCAATTTAAATTATGTTGGAAAATTCAAGTTGCATAAAAGATAAACAGGAAAATCCATTTTTAAAGGGCAAAAAAAAAATAGAATATGTATGTTAATATACCGTATTTAAGCTTCAAATGACTAAAGTCAAACACAGGGTTTCTTTCACATTGGTTGCATGCAGTTAAAGCATCAAAACTCAGCATTTTAAAGAGATTTATCCTGTTTAGAAAATAGTTTTGTTTACCCCCCCTCACTGCTGCCTAAGACAACAAAGCTGTTATACACTGTAGCGGCCTTCAAGTGCAAGACCTTAAAAAACCACTGCCTAAACACAAAGTTCTAACTGTGCAAGGGAACACTAGAAATAATATGCTAACCTAAAACTTCATCACATGACCCATTGCACAGACTTACATTTGAAAGACCAGAGCTTCTGCAGGGATGTCTTTTTTTTCTTTTATTGTAAAGGACTGCAGGTTTAATTAGTACTTACTTAGAAAATAGGCCGGGTTGAGCATAAACCCGACAGCTTAGGAAAAATAACGCCATACATACTGTGAAGTACGGTGGAGGAAGTGTCATGGTTTGGGAATGCTTTGCCAGGTTTTAGAGAATTCTTAACATCTTTATCTCAGGTCACACCTCCTTAAAACAACATAGTTTAATTACGAAGGAGCTGGTGATAATGTATAAAAAGGATTGAAAGAGCACCCAATAAAATATACAAATATAAAGCATAACATCATGACAATTGAATGGCTAAATAAGGGATTGAAAGCTGATAATTATGTACATATATACACAGATGAAATTAGTTTTATGAAGAAATCTAACAAACTGATCCTTGATTTTTTTTAGCTTTCCTTTTATAGAGCTATCACCATTATGTTTCCCTCCCATACACTTCAAATGATTTGTGTTTAATGTTCAAGCGTTCATATTTTTAGTTGCCCTTTAGCTCAGAGCTTGTATTTCAAATAAAATCCCTGTCAATGACACACTTTCCTTATCTGAGATCAGGGATACTTCATTGATCTCAGCTGAGAATCTTAGAAATAAGAAATCGTACAAAAAAGAAGTGATGTGTCTCTTTATTGTGATCCTCTATCTTTGACACAGTGTAACTGCATTACAGAACATTGAAGACAGAGTTAATACTTAGTGAGCAGATCTAAATGTTGCTAGTGGCAAAATTTAGAAGAGCATGAATGGTGTACTGCTAAGAAACACAGTGGGTACCATAAAATTACCCAGTTTCCAGTGAATGTACAAAAACCAAGACAAAAGTGCTGTTAAAAAAATGTTTATACCTATCAAAACCACTTAAGGCAAAGGAAAGATGCTACAATTAAAATGCAGGAATAAAAAAGCTGTGTACTAAACATACAGTTCCGGTCAGAACTTTAAATGATATCATGAGGGATTCATCATTTCAGACTTTTGAGATTGTCTAAGGGTTGAATGTTAAAAGGACTGGATAATAAAATTTAGTGAGGATTTCCTCTGGCATCAAATAACGTCTCGCAGAATTCTGACCCGATATTTGACCAATTTGGTTTTCTGGTGGACACCCACACTGCAGGCATAGTTCAGTTGTTCTTTAAAAGGCTAAGATTGACCCTTAGGAAGATATTCCCCCAAGCTCTATCCACTGAGAACCAGTTTTAACCTGCGATTGGATTATTAACCTGTTAAAATAACCAACTCTACCCAGGGTTTAACCATCTGACCTTACTGAACTCACAATAAGTCCTAAAGCTTTATGGTCACAGAGATAAAGACTAGGCTATTTGGCAGCTATTTGTTTTTTTGAAATGGTTTCAAATGTAACTTGACTGGTTTTGGAATGGTTAGAGCTTTGGCAGTGGTTGCAATCTACTAGGTGTGTCGTTTTGCCTGCTCCCATAACAAGCGGTTACCTCAAAATGCATAAAAGAATGGCAACAAATTTTACAACGAACGTCCCTCTTCACACAACCAGGATTAAAATTCGGATCACGCTCATTACAAAGACAAACCCCTTCAGTAGCTAAACCCTACGGTATTAAATGTTTGATGACCAATATGTAAATTAGTAGGAATTTCAACCAATTTCGATAAAATGTGTATGTTTTGACCGGAGCTGTATGGTGAATAGAGCTCTAATCATTGACATCAATACAAAACTTATTTTTAAGTGCTTAAATATGAATTCGATTTATAACTTTTTCAATTCCTTTATAGGTCCATGCTCTTAAAATCAACTCTGTGGGAGTTAAATCAGCACGATATCGGTGAGCAAACCGTGGCTAATGAATAGCTTCTAAAACTGAGGAAACATGCTCTTTTTTTATGTACAAGTGAAAAGGCATTTTGAACCAGCTGTGCAGTCAAGCTTGGTTACTGTGTGTCTAAAAATAAATGAAACTGCAGTAATTTAAAGGCATTGCAATGGAAGCCTGGATTAAAATCTCAACAATATGCTGTGACATATGCTGTGAAAAAGCTGGACCTGATCACAGATTTAATCTGAGCTTCTGAGTTAGGATCGCTGTTCAGTCTTGTAACCAGGTCTGCAGCAGTCTACATGAGATACTGACCTACAGGAGCACTGATGTTTAAGACATCATCTCACTATTTTTATTTTTTAGGCGTAAGAAATGTATTGACAAAGATTTATTGATGTTTGAGTAGTTTGTTCACATTTACCTGACAATGCTAAAAAAAAAAAAACATTATTTAACATTGTTTTCCATAAACAAAACAGATTTTAGGATCCTTCAACATATTTTCTCCATTGAAATGTTAATCAAGGCACAAGGGCAGCAGTATAAAGAAGTTACTACACATGTTACTGTTGTCTAGTAGAGTCTAGGTGGATTATATTACACAACCTGTCTTAAAGTTACAGTACAGTGATGCAGATTGTAGAAAAGCCTAACAGCATAGAGGTGTGATATGCAAATTGCATTGAACTATATGTATGCAAACATTATATTGGGTTTAGGTAGCAAAACTGTACTTGCTTATTTTATTGGAAATAAAAACGCACATTTACTCCCACTTTTCATAAACTGGGAGTTTTGCCAGCACCAAATACTGCAACTGTTACAGGAAAAAAAAGGCTGTAACAAAATAAGTAGAGCTGAATGAGGCGTTTGTTTTCGGAAGAACATTTGCTGGTGACCTATTCCAGGATAAAAAATAAAACAGGCCAATGTCTACTTAGAGGAAGTGACGCGGTCGATCCATCATGCAGCAGCGCCTTTCTTCAGACTCTAATCTGGTATCCATTAATATCAGTTGGTTTTTGCTCCAGAACCTTCTTTTCTCCAGAGGGGCTGAAACAAAAAGACAAGAATAAATAAAAAAAAAATTAAAAAGCTAACATTTTTTTTTTAATATTTTATAGAGAGCTGGGACTAATTCTCTTGTTGGAGTCTAGGAGAAATTAATTTTCATTGAGTGGAAATGTGCAATTACTGGTTAAAATACCAGGTTTTTAATTAAATAAAAAATTATAATAAGATAAATCTTTTCAGGATGTTTTAGACTTAATGTCACCAACAACCTGAGCAAATAAATTAATGTATCAAATGAAATCTTTAGGGGGGGAAAAACAAAAAATTTTTAAATATTGTGGTTGCATAAGTGTGGACCCTTAACCTAATACTTTGAATCTTTCAACAGGCATCTTTCAATTTCATTATAGCATTCGGCCTTCTGGGTTAAAGTCCAACATTGCAGTTTTTCACTGGGCAATAGTTGCAGATTATTTTTTGCAAAAAAGGAGCAAATCTATCAGATCACAAGGAAATCTCCAATTTTATCTATATCACTCTACTGGCTTAAACACTATCAAAACATTAATCTTCTTCTGATTAAACCTTTCTTTTTTCATTAGGAGAAATATTTTTGATCCTTAAGCATGATGCTGCCACTGCCATGCTTCACTTTGAAGGTTCAATTTGAATTATAGTCAAAAGTATTGCAAACTTAACATGGCTTTTGCTTTTTACCTTTGTGAGAAAAAATATCCATTTAAATATCCTCAAAAGACCGATCATATGAAGAATATGGGAAATTTTCCCATGGCTTCTTTAATCTAAACATTTGGCTTCTTTTCATCTTATTAATTTTTAAAGGATGTCCAGTTATTAAAAATGTTGTCATTTTCTCCAGTGATTTTTTTGTGCTGATACATGCCCCTAATAAAACAAATGCGTTAAATTATTTTCATCTTCAACAGACTCATACCTTTTTAGAGAGAAATCAAGGAAAAGCCTACAAGAACCGGTGTGTGTTAATCTGAATGTAGAGGTAATTCTGCATAAGGGTGAAAGGGGGCGTGCACACTTATGTAACCACATTTTTTTTTACTTTTTCCCTTCAAGAAATTTTTTTTTTCATTTGAGTTGTACAATTTTGAAGTTTTCAATTTTTATCAGAGCGTACAGGTTTCTACTGTACATTCATTGATAGCCATGCCTGTAGTTTTTCTACATGGAACTTATCATTAGGAGCATCCTATCAATCCTACCGTCTCTCAACTCGACTGATCCTTCGAAGGGGGCTGCCTGGTCCTTTGAGAGGAGAGCCCATGCTGTTTCTCCTGTCTTTAGTAGGAGAGGGAGGTGCCGGCTTCCCAATCTGCAAAAATAAACGAATCATTTCTTTTAAATTACATTTGGAAACTACAGTCCACATTCCGTCTGTTCTCCCTTCCTCTGTTCTGCTTGTAGCACTAATCTGTTCATGCTTTCAAAGAGATTGTGCCAAGCACTCAGCAGAAAGCCCTCTTAGTGATAGATGGAGCCATCTTTAAACATAGAAGTCATCGCATTACTTTTATTATCCTCAATAACCTTCATCACTGCTGCTCTCATTATATTGGCATGAGAGATGATGAGGGAGAAACATTTCAGAGAAATTGCCTCTCAACCAGCAGCTCAACTCAGGGCCTCACTGGAGTCTCAAGGAGACAAAAGACAAACATCTGCATTTTAAATCAGTATATGACAGGAAGCTTCATCTATTTTATTGATCAGCTGAAGAGTTTTGGGGGGGGTTTTTTGTAAAAATTTGATTATTTTGGCATTTTTGGTGATTATACTTGATAAAAATCCAACAAATCAAATCCAACAAATCTGTAAAAAATATATATATATATTTTTTTTTATCCATAAAAACACATTTTTTTTCTTTTTCACTAGTTTTCATGTAAAAGAAAAAAAATTACCAATATTATTACTGGGAAGGCTAGCAGCATGACCGTTCAGGAGCTAAATATGAAAACTTTTACAAAACAAATAATTTAACTTTTTGATTTTGAACGTGTTTGAGCTCCAGGACACAGCACACATCAATAAAAAATAAAAACTATCAATAAAATTAATGCAAAAGCAAGATATTAAAAGCAGAAGTGTACCTTCAGCCTCATGTCACGGGTGTGTCTCTCCAGCTCCTTCCGTAACTCCTCCTTGCTCAGCTTGTCCACGTCCAGTATGGAGTGTTTCCACTCAATCTGCTCCACACTATGAGGGTCATGGGACACGTATTGTCCAATCTTAATCTTACGCAGGGTGTGCCAGTAACCCCTGTAGGCGCCTTCAAATTCCTGAACCAAGTCCAAGAGTGTTCGAAACTCCAGAGGCTTGAACATGAGGTCCTCCCTTCGGCTTATGCCCAGCGCGCCGAAGCGCCCGCCGCTGTGGATACCCAGCACAATGTGGTAGAAGTGGTTCCCTGAGAACTGAGATTTAAAGCTAAGTGGGAAGCGTTCCACACCGGGCATGTTGTTAGTGAGATGACTTCATCACTAGACGTCAAGGAAATGAACATCAGGATTTTCATCCTGGATTGTGGAGGCAACGAATGGTTCAAAACGTTCACACTGACTTTTGGTAAATATGTGTATAAAACCTTAAAATACAGACTATTCTTTCATTGCTCCAACTCTTTAGAGCAGGTTTCCTAAATTCCAGTCCTCTAATTGCTTAATTATCTTCTCAACATGCAGTAGTTCTTCAGAGTCCTGCTAATGACCTGAGCTAATGACCTAATGCTATGCTGTCTTCAACTCATCCAAAAAGGTTTTCAACTGCATCGGATACTCAGATCACACCAGATCAACCGTTTCTGAATCAACACAGAATATCTTGATATGGAAAAATTACTGTATATATATATATATATATATATATATATATATATAAAACACATTCTTTTTTTATTTACAAGAAGAAATTTTTGTTTAAAATGCTAAGGTATTCTAAGTAGTTCAAGTAGTTCAGTCTAACAAGGTTCTCAGGACCTTTGAAAGAGAAACAAGCCCTCAGAATCACAGATCCACCACCATGCTTATATTCTATATATAACCTTTGTTTCGTGGCATAACTAGATAGGAGTTTACTGCTAAAATCTTTAAACTTAATCTAGTCTGACTCAGTTTGGGCAGTTCTACACATTTACATTTTTGATGCAAAAAAACAAAAGACTGCAATCTCTGACATGCCATCCAAACAAGTATTTAACTAATAGAAAATAGGTCTATGTCAGATATAGTTTAAACAGTAAAAATGAATGATCGTAGACACACCCGTCAACTTTACAACACAATTAATCTGACTGCATTTAATTAGAAACGACAGAAACACCTGGAGGGATTGTGTGTAAAATAAAGTGGACTCTAAACATTTGGTATTCTAAAGTGTGGGTCATTATGCTGCTGCAATAAAAGATACATTTTTACACATTTTACCAGATTTGCCAATGAGTAAGTGGAAAATATATATTTTTTTCCTTTAGAAAAAAGAATCTTAAGCCAAATTTACCTCTGCAATCAAATAGACAGTTAATACAATCTCATGCAACCTGCCCTTTAGCCTTAAAGATACATGGCCAGGATCACCGCCTCTAAGCATTTGATTGGCAGAGCCTCTCTTGTCATCTCCTTAGCGATGTCCATCAACCTGTGAGAACAAATAAAAGAAAGAAAAGAGATTTTTTTTTTTATTTCATATACATGCTTGCATAAAAAAACTAACCCTAATGCTAGTCTAAATTGTGTCTTTGGGCTGCTCTTGTTTTCAGTAGGTTGAAATAATTTCCATCATGCAGGGAAATGGAGCCTAAATCTAATAAAGCAGGATCAGGAAGTGTGTTTCAGGCATCTGCTGACTGACATTAGCAAGTACTTTAAAAAAATCCCTGGAGTAAACAAGAGACATAGCTAAAGCACGAGCATCCCTGGTAGATTCAGCACCATCCCTGAAAACAACCTTTTTGGGTTTTATTTCCAAAGTAAGATTAACTCACGCAGTGAGAGGACGGCTTTTCTTTATTTCAAAAAACTGTGTCCCTGTGTGATTGTACCTGTAAGATACAGTTAAGGCTAAAGAGTTACACAGACATGAAACACAGAATGAAAGGGGAGGAGGGCACAGCGTTTTAGAGTGCTTTGTTATATTCATAGGCTGCTGATTAATTATGAATGAATTTCTGCACAAAGTGGAAATCATGGTTTTGGTTAATACTGAATGCAGAGTCTACACTGGATGGCCTATATTACACAATACTCCATGATTCATTTGACACCCTCCACAATTAAACCAATTTAATATTAAATTGAGTTTTAAATAAAAGCAATCGACTATTGTAAATGCATGAAAGGATACTGTAATTCCCTGATGTACTTTTGTATGGCTTCCAGGCGCAGTGGGATGGTAGTTGTAGGTTGGAATGTAGGCACGCTTGGTACTGGAATCTGAGGGGACAAACAACTGCTATTACACAACAATCGCAATATTCACTGTAACGTAAGGCAAAGTTCAGCTGAATTTAAAACATATGAAAAACATATGCAATAAAATTCCAAGGATTTTACAGAAATATTAGGAATAACTAAAGTTGAAAAAATAAAATAAGAAAAACGAACATTTCTACATTACATAAAAGAGACAAAGACGCACGTTTAATTCAAATAAATAGCAGAAACATGATACTCTGATGTCTGGATAAAGAAGCGTCTGATCATGAGAGCTCTAAATGGTTCACATTAAACATTATATCATATTAAACCGTTCAGCACCACGTAGAACGAGAACAGGATATTAAAATCGTTCATATTAGACGCAGCGGTTCGATTTAAGGATTTCATATCATTTTCTTTATGTTCATCATGCTCTACCATCTACCAGCTTTACTTTGTGCAGCCTGATTGATTTTTACAGAGATAGCTTAAAGATTGGATGACAGCAATCTAACCCACTGATGGTAAATGCTTGCAGTAGTAGTTCATTCTTTTTTTAAAGAAACACTTTAGAATGACAACATTTTTAATGTAGTAGGAGGCAAATTTAATAATATATCTTATGTGCTTTTGGTTTTTACACCCATTTAGTAAGTTTAGTTGAGTGCTGATCCCTTAATCTTCCTTTTCTGCCTTAACTTGAAAGAGATTTTGATGCATGCCCTCGATTATAGTATCACACAATTATGCTTTATTAACCTTAATAGACTGTAATAGACTAAAATCTTTTCCCGTTACATTTATAGTTTCTAAATGACACAAATCTGTGTCCTTTTTGTGTCACTTGATTTAGCATTTAATTGTTGAAACAATTCTAACAGTGAATCTAACAACCCCAGTAATTTCCCATCCTATGCATTATGATCAGCTGTGTCAAACGTAGAACAGAAAGACAGAAACCTTGCATGTATAAGCCATTAAACCTTTATTATTACTGTTTTCTAGCTGCAAGTTATAAAAAGTTAATTGTACCATAAAAGAAAATTTTTCATAAAGTAAAAATTTGAATTTGCTAAAAATATTTGGTTGGCTATAGGACTACTATTTCTGTCCTTTTCAAAATAAAGTTGAAATCTCTACAGTTTTTAAGATTTACAATTTTTCTTTTTAAACTATGAGCTCCCTTTCTTTTTCATATACAAAAAGGAGTATTTGGATTTTCCATCTACTCCTATTTCAGAAATTTGGCTTATGTCACAACTTCTATGATGATGGAATGACTACCAAGTGCTACAAGAACAGCAAAGTCCCTTTCTATCTTTAGGAAACTCTTAAAGACCAACCTCTTCAAAGAGCATTTTTTTCCTAACTCTTACCCATACCTCTGTACCCCTCTACTACTCTTTCTGCCATTCCCTCTCTCTCTCTCTCTCTCTCTTTGCTGTCCCCACTGATTCAGACTAGGGATTTTCCTCTAGAGAACGTATTACCATATTGATGATAACTGTAAAATTGTGTCTACTTTCTAAGTCGCTTTGGATAAAAGCATCTGCTAAATGCATAAATATAAATATCATAATTAACCCGTTTTCTTGGATTAATAGAGCTCGGCCTGTATTTCAGTGTAGTCCTGTTTCTCTGACTGTGACTGGCTGGATGTGCTCTCTTCATCCTCTGACATGGGAGCTGGTTTGTATGGCTATTTTTTTTTCCTGGACGGTGAGCTGGTTGACAGTTGCATATTTTTTTTATTTTTATCTCTGCTTCTGTCTGCATGAACCCCAGTCAGCCTCGGCAGATGGCCACTCACATCGAGTCTGGTTCTGCTGGAGGTTTCTTCCTGTTAAAAAGGAGTTTTCCTCTTAACTGTCGCTACAAGCATGCTTAGTGTAAGGGATTCTCAATGAATCAATGCAATCAACTGGTTTTCTTTAGAAGGAAAACTTTGAATCAATTTAACTGTATCATCTGGTTGAATTGTAAAGTGCCTTGAGATGACATGTGTTGTGAATTGGCGCAATATAAATAAACTGAATTGAATAACAACAGTTTAAATGTCCTGTAAGTTATATTTACCTTGGGCAGGTCCATAACACCCCTTATGTCCTTGGCCAGAGCTTCACCACCTGGGTGCATTCTGGCCACATGACGCCACATCCTCTCCCAAGTCTCCTCATCCATTGGAAGGCCTCCTCTGTTTACATAGAAGGGCACCCCTCCATCCCTCAACTCTTCCTCCCCTTCATCCTCCTCATCCCTCTCCTCTGCTGAGCCCACTGTGACTCTCAGCATCCCTTCTTCAGTGGTCAGCCACACAGTCCAGAAGCAGAAACAGTCCTGCCTTTGGTTCTTTAAGTGGTTAATCAGCTTGCAGTTTAAAGCAGGTTCCAGCAGCAGATGGTCATCTCATGACCTCCAGGAGATTGTGGAATCAATATCTGAAAAAGAAAAAGCTGTTAGTGAATCTGTTATTAAAGCAGAGTTAAAATGTATTAGGTTATTCAAGCTAAAAGCAGAAATTAAAAGTAGGAAAAAAATAATATTTCTTGCAGCAAGTAGCCTATTTGATACCTATTTAAACAGTAATGTCTTTCTAATGAACTGCTTATTAATAAACAAAATAAAGGCGGCTTATTAGTGAGAAAAAAAAATGTATGGTACAATTATTATATATGCTCATTCAAAAAAAAAGGAAGTATTCACATTGTCCCCATAGCAACGCCGCGGCAGAAGCTGTCGGGGTGTTGACTTTGCAGGAGATAAAGTATTAGAAAATCCTAATTCCCTGCACCGCTGGAGGTCATTCAAGCCTCAAATACGAAACGAAAAATGTCCCTCTGAGATCCCATTTTAGGCTTCCTTCATTCATTTAGATCAGGCTCATCTTTTAAAATAATTTCCTTCCAATCCAGCCGGTTCATTGTTCCTGCAGATGCTCCTCTTCTCTGCACAGGTTTCTGAGTCAAACGAGCTGCCCAGACACTCCCCGACCTCAGTCTACTGCGCATGCGCGTGTTTTAGAGAATGATCTCAGTGATGACACGAGCTGCATTCAGGTGCTCCTCGTAAAAAGCCCTTTTTAGACAAATGGAGTGTAAATTAAGTTAAAAATAATAGATCTTTTGTTAGTAATCGGTTTTCGAATGAGTTATTGGAAATATGTAAGATAAATATGAACATTTGTTCTTTAATCAGTTAATGTGTATATATATATACATGTATA